TTTAAACCAGAAGTGGCAGTTAGTTGTCAAAGAAGTCGAAGACATGCAGTATTTATCTCTATTCCAAAGCTTTTTATGCCGCATTGATATCATTTTCATTGCAACTCCAAATTAGACGATATTGTCGTCGCTGAAGGCCAAAATGAGAAATGTTACTATTGTGCCGACGCGTTTTCAGCACAGCAATGAACTCGCTGACTCTGTGACGCTGTTCAGCTCCAGCATTAAGTCTGGGATCTCTTTCTTCCTTCCTCTCCGTGAAAAGGCTTCTCCTCTCTTCCTCTTGATACATGACAGCCAAAGAGAGCCTGCTGTGGCACAAATAAGAACACTCTGAGTCTGTTCGCTTAAACCACTGAGTGGCAAGATAAGTTCAAAGCCCTCCTCGGTGGCCCAATAAAGAGGAAGTAGCTTGTGTCTGGACGGATCAAAGGGAAGGCGCGCAGAGAGAAGGTCAGGTCTCAGACGCTTCCACACTGAGAAGCTCACTGCTGCACAAGCCCTCCACAACGTTTTCTGGTACTGACTCAACGGCTGCTGCTAGGTTCATTCTTATTTTACAAGTTTGGAGTGTGTTTTTGCAAAAAAAGTAATACAAATCCAGCAGGGAGTCTGCTCCAAACTGTCTCTATTTTAGAGATCAAATGGTAGAGAAAAGCTTCCTGTTCTGACCTATTTAGGCAGAGGTGGAAGAAGTGTTCAGACCAGTAAGTTGCAATAGTTAAAGGTCCCCTATTATACTGTTTTTCATCAATATATTATAGGTCTCAGATATATACAGAACATGTCTCTGATTGGCTGAAACAGATCTTTGCAGCATCCCATAATCCCCTCTGTTTCAGCCCTGTTTCCAAAGTGCTGATTCTCTGTCTGTTACTTTAGATGAAAAATAAGGAGCCCCTCCCCACGCCCCTCTGAGAGATATCTGGTTAAAAAGAACACAACGGTGCTGATTCAGGTGATATGGGGGGGGGGGGGGGAGGGGTGCTGGTTACCTTGGTTGGTGATTGGCTAATGGTTACACAACCCAAAAATCATGACATCATAAAGTGGCCAAAATCTGATCAGCTCATTTTCAGACAGGTTTTTATTTAAATGGATCAAGACAAAAAGAGAGAGAATCTTTTTTCCTGAAGCTTTCAGAATCTCTAGGGGGGACACATGTTGATGTATAAAAGACATGAAAAAGTGGATTTTGCATAAAAGGTGACCTTTTAATTGTTAAAGGGGCCCTATTATGCTCATTACAGGTTCATATGTATATGTTGTACCTCTACTGTGATGACTGCCTGAGTAGATTTCCTTATTACTTTCTACCATTGTTTAGGACCTCATGGATTCACCTTGTTTGAAGAGGCCTGCTGCTGATAGGCATTTCTCTTTTTAATTAGAAGGTCTATGAGACAAATATGTTTTCTAAATCCTGTGATTAAGGGATTTTAAGTGATCAATTACTAGGACCCAGCTTGTTAGGCTCACAGTGGCCGATATATTATATGAACTTCTGAGACTGTGTTCTTGTAAGGAGCTACTCAATATAGGAAAACATATGAACTGTGGCTTGCTTATTAAGCTTAACTAAGTGTTGTATCTGCTGAGCCAGCATGTTTCCTGCTTTGGTACTATAACGTTAAGTTCTTCCACCTCCTCCCTTTTGTCCTATAAAAGTTTAACTGACTTGTAAACCACGTGCAAAATCAATTAGACATCTTGTTGACTCCTGCCCACAATCACTTACAGAGCCGCAGCAGCAGGCTTTTTAATGGAAGAGATGTGGAAAGGTTGACAGTGGTGATAATTAATTGTTATTAGAAACAGCGTGTAAACACTGACATATATAACGTTCTAATGCACAAACCTTAGTTGGCTTCACACTGAAGTGGTGTAGAAGTACGTGTTTCTTGATAATGGATGTACTCAAGTTGCATAAAAGCATTTCGATGGGAAACATTAAGGGAGCAAAAATCCTTAATGTCCAAAGCCTGTTTCTTATTTCTTGATTTGTTCTAAACTTAGATGCAGCGGTAGATTTTCAAACATTAATTGAGCTACTTTCTTCATCATTTAGAGATGTTGTTATTATTCAGGTTCAACAGGTGGCTTTGGTCTAAATTCCTTTCAAATTGAGGCTCTAGAATTCGCATGAAATCCAGGTCTCGGCTTCAGTTAAAGATTTTATGTCTGGATCACAGCAAGCAGTAGAAGTAAAGTATAAAGAAGAGGTTAAGACTTGAATGGATCTGACAAAGTTCATATTTTTGGTCTGAGTTAAATATTCATGCTATTTCATTTTGATGTTAGTATCTGGAAATGAGGTAAATATATCCTCTTTAAACGAGGTGGGGCATCTCTTGCTGCTGCAAAAACTAAGGCGTATATCTCTTCCTAAGAACATGTGGATACGTTGTTTTTTTAGCTGTTGGGCTTGGCAGCAGTGTGTCATTATATCACTTCAAATCCTCATCTACATTTTAAAATATCATTTAAACTGCGGAGATATTTCACAAATCCATCTGAAGCCAGACCTCGGAGCTAAGCAGAAGTGATGTTGAGCGTCAATAGAACCGGAGCCACAATGTCTATTCACGTTGAAAGAGAATAAGATAATAGTTCACTATGGTTGTGCGCCAAAACAGTCAGCCAATATCCTTTTGTTCAACTTTGAAGCCTGTGAAGAGCGGGGCAACATCCTCCAACATAGCAATATCCTAGTCAGCCGTGTGTGTTTCATTCTGTTTGTACTTTTAGAAAATGTTACGTAAAAGTGAACATATGTAGGACACAGCTTGTGCATTATTTCAGACCTGCTTTCGGAACTCTGAAAGGGTAATGCAGCCTATGTGTGCGTAATTGCCCAATTTGCATTAAATGTGTGTGTAGGTGTTTCTGCTGGTGCCATTGTGCCTGTGCCAAGGAGCTGGACAAACAGTCACTGACACAACACCATGCAGGAGGCAGCATGCCAGTGCTCTCCCACCAGGGCTGTAATTGACTGTCTACATTGAGTCCATTGCTTTAAAGATCAGTGTTGCAGCAAGAGACTGTAGAGGAGAGATGGCACAGGCGCAGGGAGCGGAGGCACAGAGGATTTTAGGGAGGAAATGTCCACTTTTTTTTACATTTTTACCATCAAAAGACACAGATTAGAGCAGATTTAGAGGTTTACAAGGGCTGCTGGGGACACACGCCGCAATTAACTATTTAACTACACCCAGAGTGGTTAACAGTCCGCTTTACAAGAGCTCCAGTCTAATGCACATTACTGCAGCAAAGCTAAGCAGGGATAACTCACAGTCTCTATAAAGGAAGAACATAATATCTTCATTAGTTCAACTTTCTCGGGTTTGGAAATTTAATTTTTCTTGCTTATTTATTGCAGGAAGATGACAAGATGTTTAGACGAGAGCTTAAGGTTTAGTATGCAAGGCGGTGGGTTCTCAGGTGGATGCACAGAAGCCTCCAGAGTCTCACCGCTAGCAGACAGCTAGCTCCAGTTTGACGATAGCAGCCAGAGCCCTCTGTGGCGCTGTCTGTGGTGCTGAGGGCCAAGAACTGGTGCTGAGCTTCAGGACCTGGCGCTGTCCGTGGTACCAGTCGAGCATGGTGCCGTCACTGGCGCTGTGCAATGTACCAATGCTACGCTGTTCTGTCCACGGAGCTGTTGGTAAAACTGAGGCACTATGAGGGCACAGTTTATGTTTGTACTTGCACTATTTTATCAGTTGTATTGTGTGCGCTGTTGGAGGAGCCTGTGACCTAAGATGTTCATTGTCATAACTACACTGTATCTATGTACACATGACAATAAAAGCCTTGCATCTTGAATGTATTAAGGTCCACTGACCTATAAGAATAGCAGTAGGATAGTGTTAGAATATCCATTAGAAGATAATATCCTGCACTTCAAATATTAGGTACAATTTTAGTTTTTTGGGTGTTGTAGCACATACACAAAAGAGTGTCTGCTGTACGATACCCCCCTGAGTATCTCCACCGGCGGTTCAACACTACTTTTGTCATTTTTCTCCCAAGCCGATCAGAACAGACTGGACTGTTTCTGGAGGGTGGATTGGTGTTAAAAGGAAGCATTTAAGACACAGGGGAAAGGCAGGTACATTTAGACAGACCTTATGAGATATTGTGCTCTTGAACATAAAAGGATGTTTTAGTAGATGCAGAAAACTCAAGTATGAACCTAAACATTAGCATACAATGTACCCTGAAAACTGTAAAAAATACTTTTTTTGTTGACAATTTGGGGCTACGATATGTTATAAATAAAATTCCATAGATATTACATGACAATGGGAGCAATTTGGGGGTTCAGTATCTTCCCAAGGACACGTCAACATGTTGACTGCAGGGACTGGGGATCAAACCCCCCGACACTCTGATTGGTATATGTCTAATACTGCTCCAAAGTATGTTTCTTAATCTTAAACAAGGACAACAATAAGATAATAAATACATATAATCCCATCGAAAGTATAACAAAGTACGTGAAAGAAGTTACCTTTTAATATTTTCCTCACTCTTTACAGAGTAGTTTTAAATATTCCTTCAAATAATGTGAATTTATTTTTTCAAAGCTCGTGCTGTTCATGGCAGCTTTTAACAATTCAGTCACACTGTACATGACATATGGAATTTATTTCCTTTTAAATTGGCGATGTGTGTAAAAATAAGTGCACTAGTGATATATTATTGCTCCAGGATACAAAGAGAATCACTTGAACATTATATGAATGACGTGGCTCTTATTGAAGGCTGGTTAAATATCACTCAGCCACTCTAGATTCAAAAATCTAACTCCGAAAGAAAAACCACATTAAACCGTGATTCACGCTGTTTTAAAAAAAATTATATAACACGTTTTTTTAGACAGGATAATATTCCAGCACCTGAAGTTGCTCATTGCTGACGTAATATCGATTATCTGAGTGTTTCACTTTGAAAAAAAATCTCTTGGTCGCACAGTGCGCACTTTTCCTCCCACAGCCTTTCTCTACCCAACCACTCTCCTTCCTCCGTCCCCTCCTGCAAGCATGCTGTGATCCTCAGCTACTTGGTTACCAAAACCGAGAGCTTAAAGGACTTTCCCCCCTCTGTTTTTGTCTACCATCCATCCAGACGTTTACTGAGCGGATTTTACAGGACCACTCGGTGTTCTGGGGGGCTATGCTGCTGGGCTGGTGAGTCTGGAGAGAATCGATGAAACCATACCACAGGTAAAGGAGGTTTTTACGACGCTGCGGTACAGCTGATCGAACACTTTGAGCGGTGACTCAACGCTCCGAGCTTCTTTTTTACCGAGTTAAAGGAGATACTGACGCTAACTTTGGGACAACTAACTTGAGTTTCTGCACGAATTGAAACAAAAAACCGCAATTATTTCCGACTCATAAGGAGGATGAGACCTTTTTTCTTTTGCGCAAGGAGCAAATCAGCGTTTTTCTGCCACTTGCTCCGTCTTGACATGTCTTTTTGTGGGATTACACGCGGACCAATGAGCATTGTGAGAGGCCGAACTGGATTGTGAGATTACCACCTTTTGCCTTTTTTTTTAAAAATTATCATTATCCGTCTCTTCGAAGAGGAAGTGCACCGTTTATTCAATGGCTTCAGTGTCCAGGTCGGCGAGGCGCAAAGATGCCGGTCACTGGCCGAAAATGTCGTCAACTTTCTGGGCAGTGGTGCTTCTGACCGCGCTGCTGCTCATCTACTGCGGTAAGTCCCGGTGGCGCTCAGTGTTGGACCACACGTATTAGACATTTGGGTAAATGTCGCTGGTGCGCAGCAAGGGAGGGGGTTGGGGCACCACATTCTTGGCAATGGTATCGATTTCACTAGTGGTATTGTTTTTCTGTTTCTAAGCAGTTATTATTGGAAACACACACCAAATCCCATGTATTCCCTCCCCCTTTAATCCTCGTGTTCTCACTCATGCAAAAAGACAGGAAAGGAAGGGAAGAGGGGGGGGGGGGGGGCGATTAGATAAGGAGGAAATGGGCATTACGGAAACACTTTTTTTTGGACAAGAGTTGAGCTCAAGTGTCCTAGGCTTAATTAAGGCTCCCTTTATGTCTCTCTCTCTCTCTCTCTCTCTCTCTCTCTCTCTCTCTCTCTCTCCTCTCTCTCTCTCTCTCTCTCTCTCTCTCTCTCTCTCTCTCTCTCTCTCTCTCTCGCACACACACACACACACACACACACACACACACACACACACACACACACACACACACACACACACACACACACACACACAGTCCTTAGGGGTGTGTTACTGTCAGACTCACTTACCGAGGTGACACACTCATGCATCTGTCATGTTGTCTCTGCACTGAACACTGGTTGCAGGACATAAAGAATCCACACAAATATAGAAAAACAGACTTTAAATAAATCTGACAAAGCTCTTCTTATACTCCAGGCGGCAATTGCCTGAGGATAAACACATGTATGGAAGCACACACATGGTCACACAATCTCTCTGAGGTCTACTTCTCTGGCTGTGACGATGTCTTTTAATTTTTCCGTTCCCTAGCACCTTCACACCTTCTCGCTTCCTATCTCTGACTCACTTTTGAGGCGATATCCAGCTGGCACACTGTGCTCTCCAGTCTGCTACGTGTGAATCAAACAGGCTATGTACAAATTCCATTTTATATATATATATTTTAAAAAACGGAGGTATTTCATTAGTCGCTGAGGTAATGATTCATATATATTTTTCGAGCACATTAACTATGCTGGTGATTATAGAAATGAATATATTACTTATTTGTACTCCTACAACGAGGAGGATATTGAGTTTGCTTTGTAATCAAACAGGCGCCAGTGTTAATAGAGTGCACACTTCTCTATATGGGGGGGGCTCTTTCTTCCTTTACGGTGCCTTTGGCCCTGTTGATTGATCTTCTGCTTGTGTCCAATCAATGAGCTCGGATGTTTGTTTCAGTCAGCAGTCTTTGAGCCCCCCCCCCAAAGGACCTCCACCACTTCACTCCTTCTGGGAGTTAAGGATCTGAGCAGTAGTGATTCTTTGATTTCCTGTTGTTCACTCTTTCATAAACTCTTGAACCCGTACTGCTCACAATTCTTTGATCGCTTTAATTTAGAAAAATAGTTCAATCCATATCTTTATTCAGTTTCTACAGTATCTGAGGGCCGTTGCTTCTCTGTGTTATAGCTCTCCCCTTTTAAATGTGTCCTTTGTCTCAGCTTGTGGTCTTCCCGGCAGACAAGCCTCTGTACTTTCAGCTCTGATGATTTCACTGCTTTATCTTTGAGCTTTCTTCTCACCCATTTCCATTTCTGTTTGACCTTGGCCCCTCAGCTTTTATATTTATCTCACCCTCTCCTCTACTTGTGTCCTTGGAAGTCCCAGCAGGGGGTTCGGTCCACTTACCCTTAGTTGTTATGCTACAAACCTCCCTATTTTATTCTCATTCATTTATTTGTTGTAATCATTTGGTATCTTGATCCTCATACATTCTCCCTTTCTCTTTGTTGCACATGTTCTGTCATTATCTTCCTCTTTATCCTATTTTTATGAACGCCCTATTATTATTGGGTCTGTTTCCTGGTAAAGAGTTAAGATGACCTCAGATTGAGGAGGAACAATGCGGATTCCGTCCTGGTCGTGGAACGACGGATCAGCTTTTTACTCTCGCAAGGATCCTGGAGGGGGCCTGGGAGTACGCTTATCCGGTCTACATGTGTTTTGTAGACTTGGAGAAGGCGTATGACCGAGTTCCCAGGGAGTTACTGTGGGAGGTGCTGCGGGAGTATGGGGTGAGGGGGTCTCTACTCAGGGCCATCCAATCTCTGTACTCCCAAAGCGAGAGCTGTGTCCGGGTCCTCGGCAGTAAGTCCAGTAAGGACCCATTTCCGGTGAGGGTTGGCCTCCGCCAGGGCTGCGCTTTGTCACCAATCCTGTTTGTAATATACATGGATCGGATTTCGAGGCGTAGTCGTGGGGGAGGGGGTCTGCAGTTCGGTGGACTAAGGATTGCACCACTGCTTTTTGCAGATGATGTGGTTCTAATGGCTTCATCGGTCTGCGACCTTCAGCACTCACTGAATCGGTTCGCAACCGAGTGTGAAGCGGCTGGGATGAGGATCAGCACCTCCAAATCTGAGGCCATGGTTCTCAGCAGGAAACTGATGGACTGTCCACTTCAAGTAGGGAATGAGTCCTTACCCCAAGTGAAGGAGTTCAAGTATCTCGGGGTCTTGTTCTCGAGTGAGGGAACAATGGAGCGTGAGATGGGCCGGAGAATCTGAGCAGCGGGAGCGGTACTGCAGTCGCTTTACCGCACCGTAGTGACGAAAAGGGAGCTGAGCCAGAAGGCAAAGCTCTCTGTCTACCGGGCCATTTTCGTTCCTACCCTCACCTATGGTCATGAAGGATGGGTCATGACCGAAAGAACGAGATCGCGGATACAAGCGGCCGAGATGGGTTATCTCCGCAGGGTGGCTGGTGTCTCCCTTAGGGATAAGGTGAGAAGTTCAGTCATCCGGGAGGGACTCGGAGTTGAGCCGCTCCTCCTTCGCATCGAAAGGAGCCAGTTGAGGTGGTTTGGGCACCTAGTTAGGATGCCACCTGGGCGCCTCCCTAGGGAGGTGTTCCAGGCACATCCAGCTGGGAAGAGACCAAGGGGTAGACCTAGGACCAGGTGGAGGGATTATATCTCTTCGCTGGCCTGGGAGCGCCTTGGGATCCCCCAGTCAGAGCTGGTTGATGTGGCCAGGGAAAGGAACGTTTGGGGCTCTCTGCTGGAACTGCTACCCCCGCGACCCGACCACGGATAAGCGGGAGAAGATGGATGGATGGAGTTAAGATGACTACCGCACATCATTTTGATATATTCCAGTTCTCAGCAGTTCACCTTTTGGTTGTTTTTCCACCTCTTCTCGTACCGTTTGTTTCCCAAATCCAAGACATTTTTTATATGTTTTCACACTCTGATGACCTTTATTGAACTTCCAAATAATATGTTTAGCTTTTAATTTGAATAGCTTTGGATATTTACTTTCAGTAAATACTTTACTCTCCAAGGTCTCTATATTTTGGGATACTACTATCTGCTGCTACTGATTTATCCGCCAGTCATGTTGTTTTATAAATCACTAATCAGTGAAAGCTGCCAATGGATGTCAGTGAAACATCTTCTTCGGCTCATCAAATGTCTTGGTGTTGACCGTCTACACCCCAAAGATGTTCAATACTATAATTGACAAGGACAAGGAAAGTCAGCCAATCTTCTCATTTTACAAGCTGGAACCTTTAAATGTGTCATCCTTGTTTTTGAATCATTTGAAAACAGGCGCATAATAACTTATTTATAAAGACTTATTGATTTATTTGAAGACCAATCACCTTTAATTGACTGTTTTCTCACACAATTTCATTACAGTTTGACATGTTTTCATACATTTTGTTTTATTTTTTGGCCATCAATGCATGTTTTGTTCAATATTTATAATTATAATGGAGACAACCCAATTTAAATTGGCTGTAAAATAGCATTCACTTTTGCACCTACAATATTTACACATACATAGGTTGGAAAATGCTTCATTGCAAAACGTAATTGACATTTTTACCCATGTGGTAATTATATTATGGGATTGTTATGTGAGCGTTTGACTAGTGTATAACTGTTGTTTGTACCAAGGGACATTTTTGCTTTGCTGTGCTGCTGTGTTGTGCAGTCAAAAGAGGGGGGGGAGAGGAAGGGAGTGAGGGGGGTAGGTTGAAGGGAGCTCTGTGATTATGGCTATGACTCATATGGTGCCTGTCACCTAGAATCAACATCCAACTTCACACGATCTGCCGTCCTCACTCAGGCCCTTCTCAGAGAGGAGAGATTTAAGAGGAGAGAGAGAGGGATATAAGTGGTGGCATTGAAAGAGGTGAGAGCAGGAGGTGGCTTGATATGCTCGCTAATGCTTTGATAACAAAAGGGAGAGAAGAAAGGAAGGGGAAAAGGCAGGAGGAGGGTGACTAATGAAAAGGAGATTTTGAAGAAGAGGAAAGAAAAGAGAAGGGTGAAGAAGAAAGTGGTAAAAGAAAGTGACTGATGAATTAACCACTCATACTGTGTTGTAATCACAGTATGCCTCAGTAACCTGGTATTAAATTATAAAATTAAAATAAAAAGCATTGTGTTCTGTGCACTAGCTCCCTCCTCTGGACGCTCTCAGGCATGCATTTGTTTTCATTAGGTATTCATGAGGCTGTAGACCCCGTCATGTGAGCTCGTGGAAGGGGGGCGTGGAAGGCTACGAGGATAGCTAATCAGTATGCTAATCTAAGCTCGGGATTGCTAAGTAATGTAGCCGTGGCCGTGGTCCTTGTCTGAACTGCAGACGGAGAGAAAGAGGGGGAGATGTTGACGAGCAGTAGAGAGAATAAGGTGGAGAGGTCATGCAAGAGTCCTGTCTTAAAGCAACGCTCAGTGCAAACTGTGGCAATAAATAAGCAATTCATTCCAATCCAATGTGTGCAAAAACACACCTAGATGACAGATCGAAGCACTGGAGGCCAAACACACACATCAGAGATATTAATGAACATCACATCAAAGCAGGAACATGAGTCACACGCATCGGCTTCGAAGCAGTTATTCAGGGTCATGATGATGCACATACGTGAACGTCGCCCAGATTTTAAGGATTTAGAAAGGTCACACACGACGTGGATGAGCACACATTCCTCTGCT